ATATATATATATATATATATATATATATGATAGACAGACATACACACACACACACACACACACACACACACACACACACACACACACACACACACACACATATATATATATATATATATATAGGATAGAATCCAGGTAGAACTCAATGTCCAGGACAGAGCATGAATATAATATAAAAGGCTCAAACACTAATATTCCATGGTTATAATTTATTACATTGGAATCGTAAACACGATCCAAATCATCAGACCTTCAAATTTAAAAGGAAATGGGAAAATATAACTCCAGTTATAAAAAAAAAAAAATTAGTGAGAGTGTATGTGTGCCAGTGGGAAACAAGGGTGAGAGGGAAATGTATGAAAGCTCTAGAGAGAGGGTGTAACAGAAGAAAGAAGAACAGGAAAGGCCTAAAGGTGAAGGTAGGCATTAAAATTTAACAGAGAGAAGTTTTAAAGAGAGGAGTTAAATAACAGTTTAAAGGAGTGAGATGCAGATAAATAAATATATATATATATATATATATATATATATATATATATATATATATATATATATATGTGTGTGTGTGTGTGTGTGTGTGATAATTCATGTGTTGTAACGTTTACCAATACCATAAATTAATAATTTGATGCTGCTTATGTTAATTTTGAACTGCAATCTTAGAGAAAAGTATGAACAATTTATCTCCGTTCTTATAATGAAACACGTATAGTAAGTGGTAAGCCACAATGTTTTGTGAAAGAAAGAGCAGATAAGAAAGTGGATAAACTATCTTACCTGCCAGGTGTATGCAGCAAAAGCAATAAATAAATAAATAAATACAAACTACAAACTGCGTAGAAAACCTTGACAAGGAATGAAATAAAAAAAAGGATGACAGATTGGAAAAATGTTTTTGTGATGCATTTCACCCGTTAGGATTTCATCAGATGAAACGCGTCAAAAAAATGTTTTTCCAATTTTTCTAGATACTGTTTGTTGATATAGAAAATTATATATCGTTATATCCTATATATATATATATATATATATATATATATATATATATATATATATATATATATATATATAAAGATTAATGGCCAGAGTTGAATCCGACCAGGAAACAGAAGTATTAGATAGTGCTCAATACAAGTGTGAAAAAATAAAATAAAAGTAAAAATAATATGTAGAACTTTTTAACTTTAAAAATCAGGAGGTCATTTGAATCTGCTACCTTGGTTTCAACCTTACGGTATCCTCAGGCGATTTTTATCAAATGACCTCTTAACGCTTTACTTTCTTTAAAAAACCTAATGAACGCTATATTATCATTTTCAAAAGTAAATAATAAAACCAACGACGACGACGACGACGACGACGAAGAAGAAGAAGAAGAAGAAGAAGAAGAAGAAGAAGAAGAAGAAAAGCTGGGGTATTGTAAATGTATCGGTGTGGAGGGGACTAATTGACATGTACATTATTTTTTTATGTGCTTAAGTGAAATTTTATAATATGTAAGCAAGAACTTAAGACTTCGGATTTGTGATTTTAAAGGTTCTTTGGATTCATAAATAAAAAAAAGACAGATTTGATGCACTACAAGTTTCGTTTGATGAGATTTTCGGGGTTAACAGGCTTGAAACCAAGGTAGCAGATTCAACTGGCCTCACGATTTTTAATATATATATATATATATATATATAGTTTAAAAATCAGCTTTTATATATATATATATATATATATATATATATATATATATATATATATATATATATATATATATATATATATCGTTTTCCTCTGACGCGTTTCGTTCTTTAGGACATTATCGGACTAAATTGGTTATGTTGGTATGATTACATATGCTCGCAAACGAGGATTCTTGGAATTTTAAATTATTTTTTTATCTAAAAATCCTGGCACCCCCTCGTTCGTGATCATGTATAATAAGAGAAAAGAGAGAGAGAGATAAAGAGAGAGATAAAGAGAAGAATATATATATATATATATATATATATATATATATATATATATATATATATATATAGAGAGAGAGAGAGAGAGAGAGAGAGAGATCTAAAGCACGGTTCGTACAGATATGAAGCCACGCAGTTGTTTAGCACAAACATGTCTCGCCTCAACATCAATCGCTACTTAAGAAACTTGGAGTCAGAAAGTAATCATATTAAGATAACAATGGTGATTTAATTTCTTTGAACTTGTTCCATATCTTAGAATGATCCTAAGCAGGGTGATAGCCTTATAAAGAATATATAGACGGTTTCGAATATGTTTCGCGGAAGCATGAACCACTGAGCACACATATTTTGCAGGGAGCATAAAAAAAACATATAAATAAAGCATACAATAAAGGAATATAGACTAGAAAACAGCGTTCAAATACCGATGATGCAGAGTTTAGGAATAGTGATTCCAATGTGCCCAGTCCCATCGCCAGTCACTTTGCTATTGTCTAATTTTACCTCACCGTTGTTAATTGGCACCATGTAACCCATTACTACTTTCTGTGGGGTCAGTTTATTGGCGACTGAACTGGTTTACCCACAAAGTATTCCTGGTGAGAATGTGAGATAGACGTTCAGCAGGATTAAAAAGCCGTGTCAACGGGTGAATGAGCAGGGTCAGCGGCTATTGAGAACAATGGGTTAGAATGGTCTTCGGGGCTATGTACGAAGCCAGTGCTAGGCGTAAAGCTTTCGAATTAGAGCAAAGATTTCCGTCGATGGAATCAAAGACTACGTGTACGTGTCGGTGACAAGCTTTCAAGTTAGAAGATATCGGAGGACATTTGACTAATTGTGGAAACTCGTCAGAGAATCAACGACCCTATGACGACACCCTGTCTTAGGACTGTTCATTATGATGATGATGATATTGAGTCAAAAAATAGATAGAATAGTAAAAAGTGCTTCTCACTGTACATAGTTGTCTGTCCACTCACCTTGATATAATTTAATATCTAATCAAAAAGAAGAGGTAAAAAAAAACCCCGGATAAACATAAAACGAAAGTGTTTCTTCATATCCAGTTGACATTTTTTTTTCTGGATACCGTCTCTTTTCTGCTATAATGACAAAGGTAAAACAGTTTGAACCATACAAATATTTTTTATCAAAAACCAGAACATAAAGGTAGCGATTTCTGCATGAAATATGGAATCTGTATGAAATATGAAGTATGGAAGCCTGTTATCAGATTAATTACAAGGGGATCCATTCAAAGAGCATCACAAAATATTTTTTTTTACAGTTTACTGACTTCTGTTGTAAATTGCTGCTTGAATCGACAAGATGTCACTTGCCGATTCTCGAAACTGTGTGATGTATTTTTGTGTATCATTCTGTTAAAAAAAAAAATCAATCACTCTCTCATCAATTATTTCAAAACCTATTGGATAGAGTTTCTTTATTAACTCCGAGAAAAACAATTTCTTTTTAACGTCTCTCCAAGGAAGTTACACCTACTAAAATACTAAGAGATAATATTTTAGTAACTCTTTGCATGAACTGCCAAAGTAGTATCTCTTACAAAATTGACAGGGAAAAGGTTTATACAGTAATTCTTTAATTGCTACGTTGACTATACACAAGAGTATAAAGAACGAAAAAATTGCGTGATGGAGAAAGAAGCTTTCCTGTTTCTCATTCAATGTAACTTATCGTCTAGGAAAGAAAATGCATCAGTCGGCGCGCTTTTAAGGGTGTATGGTTTGATGACCGCCAGGGAAAACCCCCTTAATCTACACAAGGAATTGTGCCTCCACATCACCGCGAGTATAATAAGAAAACTTCATATCGTCCGAATCAGAATCCTACCTTTTTCTGTTGAAGATGTAAAAAGTGTTATTCATGATGACGGTCGTCCTCGAGTATAGAATCCAGAGGTTAGCAGTGAATATTTCGAAGACTGTAGGAAAGCGTTGTTCAGGTTAGCAGTGGATATTTTGGTAAAAGTAGCAGAGCGTAGTTCGTCCTTCTGTTTCTCTTCGCCTGACAAACTGGACTGGACATTCGGGTAGAGTAGACAAAATGGCCGCCTTTATACACGACGGATTGAATAGTCTACGTCTTCTGATTGGTTAACCTTCTATTGGTGAAATATAAAGTGAGTCAAGTCATTTGAGCTAACTCACTAGTTACATATATATACACAAAAAACTGCAACAAAGTGTTGTGAATTCCTGTCAGATATGTGTTGAACATAAACCTACACGCTACGAAATGGACTAAGTCCAACAATTACTTCAATATCTTTTACTGTTATACGTTATTTATATATAAACATATAATCAAGTAAATGCTCTGTTTAAAATAAACAGTTTTAACAACATTTACTGGCCTCAATGTACGAGAAATTTCATAGAAAATAGGTGTCCTCCCACAGACGTTCCTTCGTAGCTAAACTGTTATAGCACGTCAGGCTATATGACGGTTCCGTGTAGGATACTGATTCCTGTCGGAGGACGCATATTTTCTATGAAATTTGTCGGACGTTCAGGCCGGTAAATGTTGTTCATACTGTTTATTATAAACAGAGCGTTTACTTAAATATTTATATATATATAATGACGTACAACAATAAAATATATTAAACTAATTGTCGGACTTAATCCATTTCGTAGTGTGTGATGTAATTTGTTTACGTTAAGATATGCTTCGATCAGATATGGACGTTCGAGGGAAATCATGGGCAGTTTGTAGTTTAAAAGCAGGAAAATCGACCTGGCTAACCAGACCCTCCTTCATAGCTAAACTGGCATAGCACGGGTTAAAAAAAGAATTATACCACCTTATTTTATTTCAACGTGCCCCGGCTTTTTAAAGGTATTTTTAAGATTTGTACTGTTAAAGAATTGTTTGAGATGTTATGTATAATACAATGCTAGACAAAAAACTTGTGTGCTTTCAGCTAGCGAAAGATGAAAGCAAAAACAGTATTGCTAGAATAAAAACAAAACAAAAACAACAGAAAACAATAAAATGTCAGGATTCAATTACTTACGAAGGTAACATTCGGTAGAGAAGTTCGTCTGTCTTTTTCTTTTCCTCTTCAAGCAACATGGTTCTCTCCCTCACAATGTCTTCCAAATCATTAGAATATTTTTCTAGCATTTTAAACATAGTGTCCACAAAGTTCATTTTTCTGGAAATAGAATGAACAACAGCCGTATGAGATAGACAGACAGACAGACAGACAGACAGACAGACAGATAGATAGATAGATAGATAGAGAGAGAGAGAGAGAGAGAGTATCCATAAATTATCTGAATACTTTTTAAAAATCATAAAAAAATAAAACTACAGAGTGGGTTTATTGGAAGACATAGGTAAATTAATAACGTTTTATTTAAAAACATCAGAACACATCCACATGGGCTCGACTGGTTGCATTTCTAACCATCCGTGCCTTGTAGTATCTTCTCGGCAATGCTGAATATGGCTTGGCATATTATTCTTTTCTTGAGATCTTGAACGTTTCTATGACAGACACTGTCTTTAACGTAGCCTCCAAAGAAGAAGCCTATAAGCATTAAAATTCCGTGACCTGGTTGGCCAAGAAAGATGACCGCCTCTTCGAATACACCGGTTTGGAAACATTTCATTGTGAAACTCACGAACAGTCACCCACCAATGTTTTGGGGCACCATACCATTGGAACATAACTGTTGATGGCAAATGGTACTACTACTACTACTACTACTACTACTACTACTACGAGAGAGAGAGAGAGAGAGAGAGAGGACTCAGTGGAAAGGTTTTTGTAAAAAAAGACCTTTAGGATTAAAACGAATAAAAATTGTCACTTAGCTGATATATTCAGCACCTCAGTTCAAACTTTCACAGATATGATCGACCCTGTCACGCATACAGATTATACTCACCCTCGTTCCAGTCGTATTTCATTGGTGAGGAGTAAGTTAAACACAGCTTCTTACTCCTACGCCGTGGAACTGCTCAGTCGTTATCAGGCGAGCGTCAGCTATTATATGTCTCCATAATATATATCTCTTACTCACTCTTTGTACGCCTATACAACAACCTAATTCAGCAATGAATTGATCGGCTCTTGAGTTTTGGGCAATAGTATACAAAAAGCCGAACTAAAGTTCACACAAGCATCCATACAGATACACAATTGCGCTCACACAGTCGCGCGATCGCGAATCCTGTGACCCATCAGGGTTGTAGGGGCACCACATGCACTAAAGCCGCAGTGTGTGTCTTAGGCAAGATAGCCTGACAGAGCCTAGGCCTCTCTAGGCCGGTTTTGAATTAAGAGTTTCCTTCTCCTAGACCGGTTGCCACCCAAGGCTATAGGACCCGGTCTGTCCTGCTATTTGCCCTTATCTGATAAGCTCTCCCATTCCTCAATCCGAGCCGCTATGCATTACTCCACCGCACACACACATACACACTAATTGCAACTTTATCAAAGGTGACTCTCGTGGAGGTAAAAAGGTTCTGGGCTGCTATTTTTGGATAGATAGTCATGGGGGATCAGTTTGCTTTAATTTCATTCATAATTTTAATCCTGAATTCATTCATAATTTTAATTTTGAATTCATTCATAATTTTAATTCTGAAATCATTCATAATTTTAATCCTGAATTCATTCACAATTTTAATTTTGAATTCATTCATAATTTTAATCCTGAATTCATTCATAATTTTAATTCTGAATTTATCCATAATTTTAATTCTGAATTTATTCATAATTTTAATTCTGAAATCATTCATAATTTTAATTCTGAAATCATTCATAATTTTAATTCTGAAATCATTCATAATTTTAATTCTGAATTTATTCATAATTTTAATTCTGAATTTATCCATAATTTTAATTCTGAATTTATCCATAATTTTAATTCTGAAATCATTCATAATTTTAATTCTGAAATCATTCATAATTTTAATTCTGAAATCATTCATAATTTTAATTCTGAATTCATTCATAATTTTAATTCTGAAAAGTTACGTTGCCGTCGAAAATCCAAGTTTTTCTTCTTTTTCTTTGTATCTTTTCATGGCGTGTTGGATCATGGTACTCCATAACTTCCTCCTATCCTTCGTAGCTTTCTGCAATATTTGTATTTTTACTATCTACCCCTTTCCTGTTTTGTCATCTATTTACACAAGCTCGTTATATAGGTTACTCGTTGCTTTCAGTATGTACTGTGAGTGTCAAATTTTCCATACGTTTTTTTATTTCTAATCCAAGAAATTTCAACTGAATTTTTCTGATTTTATGTATAATTATCACTTTTGATTTAATTTTATGCTAATCTCAGTATCCTTCTGTAGAACCACATTTCTGTTGCGTCAAGTTTTTCCAGCTGTGAGAAGATTTGTCAATATTTCTGAGATGAGGTAACTATTTACACTATTTACATTGTTCGGCCTGTTGACCTCATTTTTATTGTCACATTCACAACTTTTCAGTCGTTGTACGTTTCTGGCTTCTTCAGGTGATATTTGTTTGTATTTCTAATTCTGCATGATGGCGTTTGGAATTTTGAACCGAACCCCAAATAGTCAATGTGTATGTTAGCGTTTCTGATTGGTTTGATGAGGTTTGCGTAGACGTCTTTCTATGCTTATTTCTTGAAATGGGCTGACATGTATCCTTCGCATTTCTTGGACGCTCAGTAAAATCTCTGGGAATCTGTTCCATTTTATCCACCCACCGCTTGCCAGTATTATGACAGGGATTGGCAAAGGTCAAGTTCTTTTCCCACAGTATTGTGTTGCTCAGCCGTTCATAGATGAATATTCAATTCCAATGAAAAAAACTTCCTTTGCGCATCAGTGTACAATGTGGACACCATAGAAGTTTTCGAAATTGACATATCTATTACGAAGAATGCAGTCTGTGCTAGTTGATTGCTGCGCTTTTGGACTTGGTGAGACAAGTTGAATCTTCTTTGGATCGGAATGTCTTCGGTGGTTTTTGTTCCCATTTAGGGTCCAGCTAATTCTTATTTTGGCTTTAGGTAGGACAGCATCGTAACTAGTCTGAGCAATATGGAACACACCGGATACTCAATATGGTTATTTGTACTAGTGAGTAATGAAGAGGATTCCATCGTTAAATTTTTTGAATTTGCTTGTTACAAGAAAGAAGGATGTATCCACCGGAGACTTGCTTGCAACTACGTCAGGTGTCTTAGAGCATAAATTCAGATTGTCAGCCCATTTCAGGAAATAAACACGTGAAGAACGTCTACACAAACGTCATCGAACCAATCTTCAGAAACGCCAACATAAAAATTGATCATTTTGGGTTCGGCTCAAAATGCAAACAACTGAAGAAGGCCGGAGCATAAAAAGGCCGAAACGTTGTGAATGTGACAGTAAAGATGAGAACAACAGACTGAACAGTGTAAATAGTGTAAATGGGAGAAGATTGTTTAGCATTCACTGCCATAAGGGCTGATTAATATTACATATCATTTCAGAATCTTTTTTTTTAATTTTATTTCAATGGCATATTTCTGCTTCTTAATGCTTTGTTTAGCGTTTGGGTGACATTTTTTTTGTTGTTCCAATGCGTCTTCGGATTTCGGTGTCACATATTCCACCGTCTGTTAAAACACTCCCTCGATGTTTAAATTTCTGTATTTGCTTGATTTTAACATCTTAAATTCGTACTTCGCATCTTGGATTGTTTCTCTTACTGGCAACCAGATATTCTCTATTCGATTCACGTTTCATTCGTACGAATTGAATTTAAGTAGCATCTAAACTTCGAACACGACTGTCTGATTCCATTTTGGTAGTAGTTCCACCGCTACGTTCGTCTATATAAATAGCAAAGTAACTATGAGCCTTCAAAAGGCAAAGAACAACAAGGCCACTAAAGAACTAAAAAGGCGGCCATCGTAACATGATATTGATAGACATTTCGTCGACCGATCCCCTTGAGTTAGATCATCTTTACGGATCCATTTATTGTGGCCAGAGTAAACCCAACTTAGTAAGTGACTATTAAGTAAAGGAAAGTGAAATAAACAGAGTGAGAACCTGTGTAAATTCCATCAATGGTGACAATGGGTAACAGCTTTTGTTAATACTTCCTTGGTAAGTAAAGTTGTTACGGGAGAACTGTACTATTGTCGACTCACTTGGATTGAACTAGGTATGAGCAGACAGTGCTTAGTGTAGCTACTCTATCGCATATTAATGGATACCAGTGACGAGACAAAGTCTTTTCCAAGTTGTTATAAAATTAACTTAACCCACCTCATCTGGAATCCGACCACCTTTTGCCGATTCCATTTTCCATGCTGATAACCATTATGCCAGTATCTGTCTCTATCTCTTAGATGAAGTATTATGTACACACTTTCACATTATTCGGGCTATTGTCCTCATCATTGTCGCCATATTTATTACAAAGTTTCGGCCGTTGTACGCTCCGATCTTCTTCAGGTGGTTGAAATGTCGAACTGAACCCTTTATTTCGGTCACTGGGGCAGACTGTTCTAGTTAGGTTTATGATACCCAGAAATTCATACACAGATGTCCTCAAGGGCACATGGCACAGTGGATAAAGGCATTAGTTAGATCCAGTGACAGGACCCAAAGAGTGTTAAGGCAATGGAGAACTTGGAGAGGGGAATTGACAGGTGGTAACTGGCAACTGACATCCATTAAACATGGCACGTGAAACTTGAACAGGCTACCGTAGTGAGCGACATAAAGGGTTCAGTTCGACATTCCAACCATCTGAAGAAGGTTGTAATAATTAAACGTTGTAATAAATATGGCGACAATGATGAGGACAATAGTCCGAATAATGTAAATAGTGAACCATTATGTCACCTTGTGCCTCTAACAGCGATATGAACAGATGGCTATATAAGAACATCTTGAGATAGATATGAGCATACAGAGAGATAGAATAATAGATAGATAGACTGAGAGAGAGAGAGAGAGAGAGAGAGAGAGAGAGAGAGACACACACACAAGAGATAGATAGTTTCTGAGAATTATAGGAACGCATTGAGATAGCTAAATAGGAAAGAATATATTAAACCGAGATGTTCGATGGGATGCTGAAAAGTGAATGGCCCAACCAAAAGCTGTTAAAAATGATGTTGGGTTAAATTTTGCGAAGTAGCTTGGTCTGAGAACTTTTCAGCACCCCTCGCACATGAATAAGCTAAGAAAAGAAACTATGGACAGGCCGTTAGGACAGACTGAAGTTGCATATGAAACTGACTGAAATCGATAAAGAGGTAGATGCTAACAGACAAAATGAAGCAGTAATTAATAGATTGACCCAGAAAGGTATTTATAATGTATTGGTTGGTATTAGATGGTTTACAGGTACACAAATATAGAAGATATGTTTGGAATAGGAAGATCGCACTGCGTCAGTTATTTCAGTTAGGAGAGTGCCTATTTTGAGAATCAGTATTCACAATGTTATTTAAACTCGAGCGTGACGACTGATTAAATGTATCTGAAAAAATACACGGTATTGCAACCAGATATGAACACACACACACACACACATACACATAAACACATACACATACACACACACAAATTGAGCACTGTTGAGAGATGGGCGAATTCTATAAACAGCAGCTGTCAGCGCGAACGCATCGCTCTTCATTAATGAATAGAGCACTCTGGCTGTCTGGTGTTTGTTTGCATTCGTAAAAATAATACGCTGGAATTCGTCTTTCTCTCTCCTGAAGCACCGATGGCTTAGCGGTAGAAACTCGGACTGTCGGCTGGTTTTGATCCTGGCTTGAAGCATTCGGTTGTCTAGTCGCACTGATGAGCTGCAGATACCTTGAAACAGGTTTGTAGTAACATTGCATATATATATATATATATATATATATATATATATATATATATATATAAGAGAGAGAGAGAGAGAGAGAGAGAGATAGATGATGAGATATGAATAATCTGAAATAGATCGATAGATAGAAACAGGTTTGTGAGATAGGAGATACGAACTAAAATAGATAAATAGATAGACAGATGATATGAACATATATATATATAAGAATATATATATATATATATATATATATATATAGATAGATAGAGAGAGAAGAGACTGGGAGATAGATAGAGAGATAGATAGATAGATAGATATGAACAGACTAAGATAGTAGATATATAGATAGATAGATAGATATGAACAGACTGGGATAGAATAATAGATGAAATAGATCGATAGATAGACAGGCAGATAGATATGAACATGCTGAGATAGGGAGATACATACAAGAGGACAGACTAAAATAGATAAATAGATAGACAGATAGATAGATAGATAGATAGATAGAACATGCTGGGATAGATATGAAGAAACTAGAAGAATGATCGATTGATAGATATAGATAGAGATTAGATAGATGAGATAGATAGATAGATAAATAGATGGGATAGATAGATAGATAGAGATAGATAGATAGATAGAGATAGATAGATAGATATGAACAGACTGGGATAGATAGATAGATAGATAGATAGATAGGATAGATAGATAGATAGATAGATAGATAGATAGATAGATAGATAGATAGATAGATATGAACAGACTGGGATAGATAGATAGATAGATAGATAGATAGATAGATAGATAGATGATAACAGATGGGATAGATAGATAGATAGGACAGATAGATAGATAGATAGATAGACAGACTGGGATAGATAGATAGATAGATAGATAGATAGATAGATAGATGAATATGAACAGACTGGGATAGATAGATAGATAGATAGATAGATAGATAGATAGATATGAACAGACTGGGATAGATAGATAGATAGATAGATAGATAGATAGATAGATAGATATGAACAGACTGGGATAGATAGATGGATAGATAGATAGATAGATAGATAGATAGATAGAGATAGATAGATAGATAGATATGAACAGACTGGGATAGATAGATAGATAGATAGATAGATAGATAGATAGATATAGAACAGACTGGGATAGATAGATAGATAGATAGATAGATAGATGGATAGATAGATAGATAGATAGATATGAACAGACTGGGATAGATAGATAGATAGATAGATAGATAGATAGATAGATAGATAGATAGATAGATAGATAGATATGATATGAACAGACTGGGATAGATAGATAGGATAGATAGATAGATAGATATGAACAGACTGGGATAGATAGACAGATAGATAGATAGATAGATAGATAGATGATATGAACAGACTGGGATAGATAGATAGATAGATAGATAGATAGATAGATAGAACAGACTGGGGATAGATAGACAGATAGATAGATAGATAGATATGATATGAACAGATGGGATAGATAGAGATAGATAGATAGATAGATAGATAGATAGATAGATAGATATGAACAGACTGGGATAGATAGATAGGATAGATAGATAGATAGATAGATATGAACAGATAGATAGAGATAGATATGAATAGATAGGGATAGATAGATAGATAGATAGATAGATAGATAGATAGATAGATAGATAGATAGATATGAACAGACTGGGATAGATAGATAGATAGATAGATAGATATGAACAAGCAAATAATCCGACGACAGATAATTTATCATTTAGTAGTTGGCGTATAGACATTACAAAAATGCCTTCCACAAAATAACCACGGTAAGTGATATGAAAACATAGTTCGAAACAAAGAAACGAGTGTTGAACTGCTAGATAATATCTAATGTCCTATAAGTCAATGAATGCTGGACAATCTCCTCACAGAATAAAAAGAGGCGTAAAGCGACAGATATGTAATTTTATTGACGAATGCTAAGAATCCTTAGGACAGAACATGTGAGAGAGGAGACAACATGAAAGGAAATATGAACCAAAAGGAAAATGATATGAACGATAGCTGAAATTTCTGGAATATATAGTGAGGAAAATGGGCCTAAGGAATTTAACACTCACAGGATATAATGAAGGAAGGAGAAACCGTGGATAAACTACTTTACGACCTTGTGTGAATGGATAGCAGAACAGCGTCAGTAGCTAATTAGATCAACAAAAGCCAGGAAGTTATGGAGTGCTATAATCGAATACGTCCTGAAGGGACACGAGATATAACAACAGGGGATATATAAATATATATATTTTTACTATTGTTCTCTAAATAAATGGCTCAAGAGCCACTCAAGGCAGGGTTTTAATGAATGAGATTGGTGTAAGCGAGGAGGAAGAGGTGCCTGTTATGAGAGTATATAGGATAGATAAAACTTAACCAGGTGTCAGTTCTGGAGAGGAAGCTGTCCGTATGAAATTGCCTCCTTACTAAATGAATACGAAGAGAATGACAATGAGTTGAAGCCCCTGTAAGTGAGAATCGGCAGTTTTAGTCCATTTCGGGAATCAAATTAAACATTTGAAAAGCTGTCTTTGATTTGAATATCAATTCTTAACAGGTTCATTTGCCGCTTTAATACGCTTTTTGAATTCTGGAAATTCCACAAGATTAATGGCGCTGAGTGAGATGGATTTAAATAAATAGCGTAGAAAATATAATCTGGGTTAGGCAATGTATCGTACATTAAGTGTTGCTGACACAAAGATCAAGTACGTGGCAACACAGTGAGATTGGAATATTGATTTTCGGGAAGATTAAGAGACAAATGAAGCAAGCCAGTCAACGAAGACAAATTAATCAGACCCGACAGGGGATAAGGGACACTTAACTGCTGACCTTGTCCTTTAATAGTTCCTGTTGATTTTCTGATTTATCTTGCCAATATTTTTAATCCTATACGCACTCTTTGGATATGTGAATTTTGAAAAGTCATAGATTGAAACGGTGACTAATAAAACCGACTTTTTTTTTCTGTAGGCAACACCAATTTAGCGCAATAAAGAATAATTTCACTTGATTTACCACCAGTATTCACGAAAATGTAATTTTAAACAAGTCATGGAAATTTTTGTATGTTTATGGCATTTCATTTAATTCCTACAAAATCGGTATCAGATGTTATCGAGGGAATATCCTAGTCAAATACCAATCTAGCTTTTCCTGAAAAAAGTGCAAGTTTTTTTAACGCTGTTTGGATAAGTGAATTTTGAAAAAGAATAGATTTAAATGGTGACTTATAATATAAACTGACATTTGTTTTTAAATGCAAACAATACTAAATCGGCGTAATAATGAATATTTTTCTTTGATCACGAGAGGTGTTCACAAAATATAACTAAGTTTTAAACGGGAGATTTCTCAACATTTGTTTTTTTGTCTCTAAATATTTTTTCGGCTGTAGATGTATTATACGTTTAACCAAAACTTACGTTGCTTGCTGTTGATCTATATATACTTTTTCCAGATATCGTGACATGCTGGTCCCTAGCGTTCGTGTTGTAACCTATTTTATACTTAGTGTTATATTTAATCGATTGTAGACTATAGTAGTATACAATCTGAATTGTATTGTTATATATTTACTAGACTTTTGGAGGAAGTACTTAACGGCAGAACACTAACCATCAATTAAAGTTACACCAGTACTAACCATGGGTATATCATACCCGGTTTTGAAAATATCAAAACAAGGATTAAATATAAATCTTTATTTGAAATATTTTACATGCAGACACTTCAAACTTTGTACATTGAGTTAACATTAATAGGAACTAAAAAAATAAAAACACATTATTTAGGTAAGAAAATCAGTTACTGAAATTGTAATTAAAAGTAGGAAAATTTGTGTTGGGTACTATATTCCCATGGTTAGTGTTCTAGGGTTAAATTTGCATTGCAAGGAATCCGCAGGAAACAAAAATGGCCTTCCCATGAGAAATGGCCTTCAGCGTCTTGTAGTCATTTATTTTCACTCAAAGGCTGTTTGCTATTTTTTCTAAAATGAGCAAGCACAGCCTGGCAGCAATGCTACAACAACGCAGCAGTGAAAACGTACGGCAATTGTTTTTGGGCAAGTGTAAGAAGACATTGTCAACACACACCATGATGTCTTCAAGATGTTCGGCGGGACTATGGTCCGGAGGATTTCCCGGTCAAATACCAAATGCATATTTTCGCAAAAAAAAAAAAAAAAAACAAAACTTTTTAACATGCGCGCCACTCCAGTTGTAGTACACACCATACGTTTCTTCGCCAGTGATTTGGTTATCACACTGCGCAAAAAAGATGCAAATATTGATGTTCCTGTGCAGCTCGTGGTTTAGAAACTTTAGGCTAATCGCAGAAGACATCTTGCATCATTGTCGCTATCGTGAGGTTCTATCTGGAGCTAGACACATGTTTCTTTCAAGGATAAATATCACCCTGTTCTTATTTGAAAGTTGGTGTTTATTAGCTACCCAGAATTTCAAAATATGACAATAGGCCAGTGCTTAATGTGGGGAATCCGTTTTTCCCATTTGCAGAACTACACAACTCAAGATTAATTTTTTTAAGTTGGCGCGATCCTAGAAATTGTGCAGTTTTCTTGCTGTAAATATTCGGGCGTAGATCTGATCCTACCTCTCGATTCAATGGGAGTTGTTGACCAGGTAATTGATCCACAGTTACAATTAATAATTTGTTTAAAAACAAAGCCGAGTAACATATAAATGGAAACCAACGCATTCCTTGGTCTTTTAAATCCCGCGTAAATATTTTGACTGAACAGATGAAACCAGTTTTGAAATCAACTTTGAGAAAAAAAATTTCAGTATTTCAGTGTAAGAATACGAGTATGTCTCAGACAAAACTAGAATGAGATATTATTTCATAAAGTGCTCGCAGTTAATATTTGTGTATGAAGCAATTATAATATACGCCATTAAAAAGGAAATATATCAATAAATGGTTTCGCAAAAGTCATTTCAAATTTTAAACTGGCTGCCATGATCATTACCTTTGAACCCTGCCGATTTTTTTTCCTTTGGAGATTATCAGAAAGAAATTATTTAAATGAACAACCACCAAAGATTCCCGGAATAGGAAAACAATATTTGACAGCAAATTACAATACGAGATCTTGATACATTAAGAGCTGTCATAGAAAAAAAAAATCAACAACAAAAGGTTCGACTGTGGAACTGAAAAGGGAAGACGCTTCCTGGGTAGAATCTCAAAGCAGAAAATTCAAGGAGCTTCTTGGGTAGATTCTCTAAAGTCGAAAGGGGAAGATGCTTCCTGGGTAGATTTTTCAAAGCAAACAGGGGAATGGGTTTTCTAGGAAGATTTTGCAAAGTGGAAAGGGGAAGGGACTTCATGTACAGACTAGGCAAAACGGAAAGGTTAATGCGCTTTTTCAGGAGATTCCACAAAGTGGAAAGGGAAAGAAAAAAATTTCCTGGATAGATTTCCAAAGCGAAAATGGGAAGACGCTTCTTGAGTAGATTCTGCAAAGCGGAAAGCGTATCATGGGTAGATTCTGTTTTGTATTGTCAACGAATACTCGTTTTCACTTCCGTAATGCTCGTTGTAGTAGAGACTTTGTAATCAGAGATATAACTATAGTAACGCCGTTGAGCAATACTGGTGTAAGACGCCTTCGAATAACACTCACACTAATAGTACTTGCTCGATAATGTTTACTAGAAAGTAATCACCGGATAGTGATCCGAATATTAATCCGGATAGTGATCCGAATATTAATCCGTATAGTGATCACTTAGACGCCATGCTAATTCCCATATATACATATCTTTTGCCATCACGTGATCTACTTAATCAAAATGGGATCGCCTGTGTTTGCTCTCTGAGGATCTGTGTTGAAACTCCTATATAACATTCTGCAAAGCGGAAAGGGGCAAGTGAGTTCTGCGTAGATCCTGGAAAACGGAAAGATGAAAGTGTGTCCTAGGTAGATTCTGTAAAGCGGAAAGAGGCAAGTGTGTCCAGGGTAGATTCTGTAAAACGAAAAAGGGGCAAGTGTGTTCAGGGTAGATTCTGTAAAGCGGAAAGTGTGTTCTAAGGTAAATTCTGAAAAGCGAAAAGAGGCAAGTGTATCCAGGGTAGATTCTGTAAAGCGAAAAGCGGAAAGTGTGTCCTAGGTAGATTCTGTAAAGCGAAAAAGGGGTAAGTGTGTCCAGGGTAGATTCTGCAAAGCGGAATGTGTATCCTAGGTAGATTTTGTAAAGCGGAAAGAGGCAAGTGTGTCTAGGGTAGATTCTGTAAAGCGGAAAGACTCAAGTGTGTCCAGGGTAGATTCTGCAAAGCGGAAAGTGTGTCCTAGGTAGATTCTGTAAAGCGGAAAGAGTCAAGTGTGTCCAGGGTAGATTCTGTAAAGCGAAAAGGGGCAAGTGTGTCCAGGGTACATTCTGCGAAGCGGAAAGTGTGTCCTAGGTAGATTCTGTAAAGCGGAAAGAGTCAAGTGTGTCCAGGGTAGATTCTGTAAAGCGAAAAAAGGGCAAGTGTGTACAGGGTAGATTCTGCAAAGCGGAAAGTGTGTCCTAGGTAGATTCTATAAAGCGGAAAGAGTCAAGTGTGTCCAGGGTAGATTCTGTAAAGCGAAAAAGGGGCAAGTGTGTCCAGGGTAGATTCTGCAAAGCGGAAAGTGTGTCCTAGGTAGATTTTGTAAAGCGGAAAACGGAAAGTGTGTCCTAGGTAGATTCTGTAAAGCGGAAAGACTCA